CACATTTTTAATAGTATTGCACTTGAGTGCCTAGCAAATTGTCGAAGCAAGGCTTAGTAAATTGATGCTTGTGTGGTACTCTTGTGTTTTGAGAAGTTTCTTATAAATCTCATGATAAATCAGAGACCAACGTCAAACACTTTCTTCATCTAATCCAGTGTTGTTGCAGGTTATTAAGTATTAATTATTTTCAGGTGTTTTGTAAAAAAGATCTCAGTTGATATTTCAAAGAAGAGTTATTTAAACCATTTATTGTGAGTATTTCCAGCAGAAAAGACTTCCTTCTTTCTTGCTTGCATTTTGAAACTTGCAAACATGAATATATACTCCTGAACTTTAAAGTTACTAAAAGATAAATTATATTTTGAGGTTAATTTGTGCCCTACTAAGAAATTAATATGGTTAAAAAAAGGCAAAGGAACCCCCAAAAAAACAAAGCAAAACAAAAAACCCTGAGCCAGCAATTACATGTTTTGGTTTAAGAGCAATTAGATTAAGATATTAATGGTACTTTTAAGAATTACTGAATGTAAAGTTTTGTTTCTGAGGCAAAGGTTCACTGTCTCATTAAGCAAAAATATTTGCTGCCTGAAAATTAGCTGGCTTTGCAACAATGTAATGGCAGAGTGAAATTGTTTAACTCTCAGATTCTACGTTAGTGTCATTAACATCTTAACTTTTCCACCACCAACAACTGGCAGGTTTATTCATCTTTGACAATCAGCAGGAATTGGTTTTGCATACTTATGAATTGTTATTTGATTTAAATGAATTATAGTTACAAAAGCATTAAATGGTAGAAGACTGAAATAAATTAGAAGTATAGGTATGCTATGAATATTTTATGACGAGGATGCAAAGGTAAAATTGCAGAGGTCTCTTACTGCAATTTTTTAACTGAGTGTTGAAAATATAAAACCCCGATTCTTTGAATTTTTTTTGGGGGGGGAAAAGGGTGAGTTAGGTAGACTACTAAAACATTACTTGATCTTTCTGGTCAGAGTAGAGGATGTTTTGGGCTGCGAGCCTGATTCATACACCCATCTTTAGAAGGGATGTTTTTATATTAAAGAGTTCTTGCAGAAGAATACTGATTTTTACTATTTCCCTATTTTCCTGTGCTTTGTCTTATTTGCAATATGGTTCTATATAATTTTATTTTTTTTATACCAATAGTTAGGCAGAAAGAGGAGTTTTTAGCTGCTTATATAAACAAGCATAAGGTTAAGTTTGAGAGCAACAAGAATGTCATGGCAAGATACCATAATGCAGAGGTGTTTTCTTGGTACTTAAATGCAATTTTTTGTGAAAATGCATTTAAATAAAAATGGGAATTGCTTTGAAATAACTTGGTGGGGTTTTTTATTTTTTTATTGAAATGCTTCACTCAAATAAATCAAGTGCTTTGATGTTTGAAAAAATGATGAAATACAGGAATAGCATCTTCTCGTCCAATGAAATGCTTGCATAAAACAGCAGAAAAAAGGAAAAAAATGCACACAAAAATTCATGTAGAATAGGAATCCACTATATCTCTTATTTTTCAGTTATATCTGTTCCTTCTTCTCTTTGTCAGTGCTAGCAAGGAGTGCAAGGAGTGTTATACTGTTGTTCAAAATCCATTGCTTTAAAGCTGAGAGCAACTCAAAGCTGAAAAATAGATTGCTTTGGGTCTTTGTTTTCCAACCCACGGAATGAAAAATTGTAACTTCACTAGTTAATATTTACTTAGTTTACAATCAGCATTTCTGTGATACATAGTTGAAAGAAGTTAGTATTTCTTTGTCTCCTATTTTTCTTAGTTAGATCGATTCAAGGAACCACCTGCATATGGACCTATGTGTGACATCCTGTGGTCAGACCCGTTGGAGGACTTTGGAAACGAGAAGACTCAGGAACACTTCACTCACAACACAGTCAGGGGGTGCTCGTACTTCTACAGGTGAATGTTCCTACTTTGAATGTGTTTCTGTACATGAACTTGTTTGGGTTTTGAAGTATAAATGTTTGCTTGAAGTTTGTGGCACTACTTAAATAATTGAGCCTTTTTTTCTCCAGGTTTGCCTTGTTTTCAGGTAAATTTGAGTTTGGTTTATTTGAGTCTCGGTTTCACCCACAACTAGGAAACCCCAAAATGTCTTGATTTTATTCTCCAAAGCCTGTGTATTTTGCTTATTTCTGTTCTTCTAAGTTAGAGACTGAATGTGTTGCTTTTAAAAAGGGGTAGGAACTACATTTCTGGTTGAAAATTAGAACTTAATTTTGAATTAAAGGTGCCATCATTGGAAAACTCACTACCTGTTGCTCGGCAGGGTAAGTAAAATTTGAGATTTTCCACACACAGGTACCTTCTTTTTTTATTTCCCCTCACAGTTTTATCAAACTTTTTATTTAAGTTTGGGAATAGTTCTTCCCAAGAAATTCAGGATTTGAACAGCATTGGTTAAATGGGACTTGGTAAGAGCTGAAATTAGTGCTTTTGACATTCTTGCAGATGCATGTATGGACTTAAATGCAAAGACATCGAGTTCTTATTCACCTTTGACATTATTTCTTTCTATTGATGTTTGTTAGTAAACTATAAATGTGAGAACATTCCTGAAAAAAGTAATAGTAATCAGGATAGAAGGACATCTAAAGCAAAGCTGTGGGTTAGTTTGTGACTATTCAAGGGAAACTTTCTTCTCTGTTTCTTTTCTGCTTAGTGATAATTGTCCTT